CCCTCCCTCCCTCCTCCCCCTCCCCCCCCCCCCTTCCCCTTCCTCCTCCTCCTCCTCCTCCTCCTCCTCCTCCTCCTCCTCTTTTCCCTCCTTGTTTTTCCTGATGCTATCCTCTGAACGCGATTCTCCTGCAGCTGTCGCAACGTCCAGCGCTCTATATGAGGTGGTCGAGGTGCTCCCTATCCTCTCTTCCTGTTGCATTGCACAGTATGACCTTCTCCTCTCCTCCTCTTTCCGCCTGCTCCTTCCTATCCGACTCTCCTGCTCCTCCTGCTTCTTTCCCCTCCTTCCCTCGGCCTGTTCTTGTTCTTCCCCAGCAGGGAGCCTTCGAATACGCGACAGGAGGTAAAAGTTCTCCTCCTTCTCCTCTTCACCCACACCAACACCTCCTCCCCCTGCTCCTCCTCCTCCTCCTCCTCCTCCTCGTCGTCGTCGTCGTCGTCGTCGTCAGGCTGACGCCTTGCCCTTCCTCCAGGAGCTCCCCTGGACCCCAGGAAACGCTCGAAGATCGTCTCTGGCGGGCATCACCGAGCCAGCCTTCGTCCTAAAGTTGATCTCTCGCTCCATATCAAGGCCAAATCTCCCGCAGGAGAGAGAGCAGCGTCGCCAAAGTCCTCTGTGTAAGACATCTCCTCCCTCCTCCCTCCTTGTTCCCCCTCGCCCCTCTCCTCCTTGCTCCTCTTCTTACCTTCCCCCTCTTCCTCCTTCTTCTTTCTTCTTCTTCTTCTTCTCCTTCTCCTTCTCCTTCTCCTTCTCCTTCTCCTTCTCCTTCTCCTCCTTCTTCTTCTCCCTTCCCTTCCCTCCCTCCCCTGCCTCCACTTCCTCGCATCCTCTCGCCCTTTCCTCGCTCTCCATCTCTCATCATCAATTCAGGTCTCCTTGCGTCCACTGCCAGCAGAAATGTAAGAGCAGTCCTGAGCCTCTTCTCCTCCCTCACTTGCTGGTCCTCAGGCAAGCAGCAGGAGGTCGTGCCAAAGATCTCTCCTCCTCCTGGCTTCCAGCGCAAAAATGAAGAGGTGGCCAAAATCCCCCCTCCTCCTCCCCCTCACTCCTCCCTCACTCCTCCCCCTCCCTCACTCCTCCCCCTTCCCCTCCGACTTATCCTCCCATGGACCAATCCTCCCTCCTCGTGCCAGGATATCTCGTTCCTGCTCCAGCTCTGCTCTTCTTCCTTGTCTGACAACGAGCAGGGCAAGAGCGCGCTGATGCAGCTGTTCGAGCAAGAGGATGCGGAGGCTGCCATGACCCTGGCCTCCTCTCCTGCCAACAAGATCAAACCGAGGCAGCTCAAGTCTGGTGATATCCTCTCCCTCCTCCCTCCTCCCTCCTCCCTCCTCCCTCCTCCCCATCTGCCCCCTGCTATCCCGGCTCACTTGCTTGCAGTTGCTGCCAACTTTTGTACTCGTTGCACTTGTCACGCGAACAAGTGCCCGCAGGTACTTCGATTCTTCTTCCTCCTCCCCCTCCCCTTCCGCCCTCCTCCATCCACTCGCTCCTCCTCGCCTTCCTCTGCCCGCCCTCCTCGCTGATCGTTTGCCGTCAAGGAGAAGGAGCAGCAGCAACTCGTTCCAAAGATTTCTCCTCCTGGCAAGAAGAACGAGCGTTCAGACAGGCAGCAGCACGCGGCTGCTCCCAAGGCCCCGAGCCCAGCGAGGGAGGAGAAACAAATCATGAAGCAGCCCGAGGAGGAGAAGACGTTTCAAGTTCCTCCCCCTCCCCCTCCTCCTCCTCTTCCACCATCGTCTCTTCCGCCGCCTCCTCCTCCTCCTCCGCCGCCGCCGCCGCTTCCTCACTCTTCTCTTCCTCCCCCTCCCCCTCCCCCTCCCCATCCGCGACCCGCAGGGGAGGCGGGGCGCAGGGAGCAGCCGCGTGCCGCTGCCAGGGGTATTGAGCAAGCTGCTGGTTGTGCAGAGAGGTTTCTCCTCCTCCTCCTCCCCCACGTTCATCTGCACCGCAAACACAGCACTATGATCATCCATTGGTCTGAGGCCGCCAAGTTAAGCCTGTCAAT